GGTTAATTATCTGCAATGAGGGAGATAAAATGGCCATCCAGCACTTTGCTGGACAGATTATATATAATAATACAGGCAGAGTATTTGACACAGTGACGTGTAGACTAGGCACTCAGACAATGCTTTCTGTCCCTCTGAGTTGGGACTCAGAATCTCCAAAATTGTGGACAAACTGGCCCGTAATTTTTCTGTTTAAATTCTGGTTAAGTTAAAATATCCAAAAAATTTTTGAACTCGAATAGTTCTTTGGTATTTGCATGGTGTGAGTGTCCCTTATTTAAGTGGTAAAAAAAAAAAAAAAAAAACCCTCAGGAGCTTTTGGTTTAGAATTCTTGAATATGGTGTTCTTGTTTTACCAGAGAAATTTAATTAGTAGCAGGAAGGAAAAAAAAAAGCTTAGAATTGGAATGATTCCATTTATGCCACAGTTAAACCAACTTTTAAAAAGTAAGCATGATTTTGGAAATATTCATTCTATCTGGTCACTATACCCTAAACACCATTTTGGAATAGAAAGATTGAAAAGAGAAACTTTAAGTAGTTTGGAATTGGCAAATACAGGAGCCCATAGAACTGCTAGGTTCTGAGCACCAGTTGATTACTAGTGGGGGCAGAGTTTTTACAGAGGAATAATTTTTTTATTTTTTAAGTTACCAATTAGACCCTCTTGGCTTTGGAGGAGATCTCCTAAATTTAACTTCCTTGTATTTGTTTAAAACTGGTCATTCCATTGGCCAGGATTTCTTTAAAATACTCTTTTAAGGCAAAGATAAAATCTCAAGGGAGATCTAGGGCTCCTTCTAAAATGCTACTCTTTTTTGCGAACCATCATGGAAGAATAGAAAGAATGCTTCACCCGGAGTCCAAAGGTCCTGTCCTCATCCCAGCTCTGCCAGTAAGTGATCAGGTATGTGGCCCTGCGTAAACTGCTTCATCTCTCTCTGCAGATTCCTAAGCATTCTTTCATTTTTAAGAGCAAGTTATGGCCCCAAACAGGGCAGGCACAAGATAAGCCTACAACCTAACATTTAACCTTAGCAACAGGCTCAGTCAGTCAGTCAGTTCAGTTCAGTTGCTCATTCATGTCCAACTCTTTGCGGGCCCATGAACTGCACTCAGGCTTCCCTGTCCATCACCAACTCCTGGAGCTTCCTCAAACTCCTGTCCATCCAGTCAGTGATGCCATCCAGCCATCTCATCCTCTGTCATCCCCTTCTCCTGCCTTCAGTCTTTCCCAACATCAGGGTCTTTTCTAAGGAGTCAGTTCTTCCCATCAGGTGGCCAAAGTATTGGAGCTTCAGCTTCAGCATCAGTCTTTCCAGTGAATATTCAGGACTGATTTCCTTTAGGATTGCCTAGTTTGATCTCCTTGCAGTCCAAGGGACTCACATAAACTGGGCCTATATCCTAGATGATGAAACTGATAAATGTCTCTTGATTCTCATATTCCTTATAAAGCTAATTTTATGGTCTTAGATATTGTAAATTGAAGTCTAGAATCATCTGTGCTCCCTCCCTCCCTACTGACAATTTAGTATCACCTGGCGTGATGACAGCTTCTTGATGCCTTTCATATCTGTCCTGGTTTCTCCATTCTGGTTCAGGCATCCATGCCCTCATGCCAGGGTCCCTAAAGTTGAGTCTCCTAACTGCTGCTCCTGCTGCCAGGTCCAATCCTCTCTGCTTCCAGGACATCATTGTCACGTGGTAACTGTCAGAGTCCAGCATGCCATCGTGTCATAAACCCTTCCTCTCTCTAATCAGTTAAACAAGTAGAGTTTTGCAGTAGAGATCAAGAGGAAAACATGTGCATTGCAGGCAACTTTCTTCAGTGATTGAAATTAATACTGATTTTTAGGCACATTGATTTTCTGCTTATGAAACCATTATTGTCAATTATACTGGCCAAACTGATAATATGTTGGCTGTTACATCAAAAACTGTAGCTCTTTTATATTATATGAAAAGACTATATATGTGTGTGTGAATATGTGTATATACATATATATAAAACCTATGTGAATATGAGCAACTCAGTAAGCTTCGTGACCTTGAGTTTAAACTGTGCAGTTGGGGACTTGCCTGGTAGCCCAGTGGTTAAGACTTCACACTTCCAATGCGCAGGGTGTGGGTTCAGTCCCTTTTGGGGGAACTAAGATCCCACATGCTGTGAAGCATGGCCAAAAAATAAAAAATAGAATAAAATGTGCAACTGTATGCATTTGTGCAGCCATACACAGATAAAAGAGGACAGGAAAGGTAACCCACATAGGAAAAGAGAGAGATACTCTAGTTTGTTTCTATTATCTGGGATCCAGTTAAGCTGAGAATGTATAGAGTTGGTGCTCCATATAAGAAGAAGGAAGGTTCATAAATAAGTGCACCTGTGATTATAGCTCAAAGCACCTGAAAGATGTTTACAATGATCCTTAAGCTTTGGAAATAAGGACACAATCACCAATGTTATCAAAACGTTCTCACAATAGAAAAAGGGTCACTATTTCTAGGATATCTTTGTTGTCCAAAGTTAAAATGACAATCTTTGTACTTTGCAATCCATGGTTTCAAACAAGAAACAATTAGCTCCAATCCCAATGCCATGACACTGCTGTTGTTTAGTTGCTAAGTTGTGTCCAACTCTTTGCGACCCCATGGACTGCAGCACACCAGGCTTCCCTGTCCATCACCATCTCCCAGAGTTTGCTCAGACTCATGTCCATTGCCTCCATCTAACCGTCTCATCCTCTGCCTCCCCCTTCTCCTCCTACCCTCAATCTTTCCCAGCATCGGGAGCCATGATGTTTAGTAATTCAAAAGCTGGCTTTCACCTCTTCAGCCCCCACCTTCCACTTAAAAAACCTTTGGCCAAATAATCCCACCAGCCTACTTCTTGTTCCCCTAAAGCAAGGGGCACATTACCACTTCCACACCTGGGCCCACACCATGGCCTCTGTCTCTCCCACTCTCCTTACAAGTTACCACCTTTCAGATCCTCTCAAACCCCTTCCTTTCCTGAACCCCTATTGACTGGTTCAAACCTCAGGGAACTCTCCTCTCTTCCAGATGCCTACAGATTTGTTCTTTAATACCTCCATCTCAAAACTAACTTAGAGAGCCTAAGTGTCTTCCTTCTGTTTGAAATCTCTGGCTTTTCTCTCTCAGACAAAAGTCCATTGGAGACAGAGACAGTGTTTCAGAGGCCTTGTCTCCCCAGGACCTAGCAGATTCTGAATAAATAGTTGTTGTTGATATAATGGTGTTTAAGTTATATAACAGCCACAAAGGAGAAAGGAAAACTTTCCTTTTGACTGCTGACACATCAAGAATACACAAATATTATAGCTGTTCAACCCAGTTGGCAATCAGAACCCAAGCGACAGATGTGAGTCTTTGCTCTTTACGACGTGTTCCAACAATAAAGAATGCCACTACTGAGAAAGCAAATCTGATACTTCCTAAAAGGAAGTACAGTTTACAAAAGAGTGTCAGCACATACCATCTCAGTTCCCCAAACACTAACCCACTCACAAGAGCAGAGAGACTAAGTCATTCTATCTTCCCTTTCAAATAAGGAACACATACATACATACATAGTTGTACAGCATACATAGTTGACAATCTTACCAAATACCAATTTCTCCTTAAATAGAAATATCTTACCTGTCTACCTTAAAGTGCTCCTAAGCATAAAAGTTAGCACATGGCAGTTGTCCGAGGCAACATATAACTGTTGGAATCATCATAAGTTTCCATTTGCTTATATAGTTTAAAATAAAAAATTATATGACATTTGCATTAGAGCAAGCCTCTATTCAAGAGTCATTCTCATCCATACAGAGTCACTCATATCTTTTGATTAGTGCTAATACAGTTCTACTTTTATGAGATGGGAATAAACACTACTGTTGTTCTAAAAGAGCTGTGATAAATCAGCTGCCCTACTATGCAATGACATTTATTATAACTGCCCATGACAAAGACACACTTCTTAAATATTCCAAATATAAAGAGCCAAATTAATTAGTATTCTTTAATTTGCAGGTAACATGGCACTTGAAGCAGCAGAGGCAAAAGTAAGAGATCGACTGACTCTGTGCTTAGTCACTCAGTCATGTCCAACTCTTTGCAACCCCACGGACTGTAGCCCACCACGCTCCTCTGTCCATGGAATTTTTCAGACAAGAATACTGGAGCAAGTTGCCCATTTCCTCCTCCAGTGGATCTTCCCAATACAGGGATAGAACCCATGTCTCCTGTGTCTCCTGCATTGCAGGTGGATTCTTTACCTGCTGAGCCATCAGGGCTAGCAACATGAAAGCCACAGGGGTGGCTAGGCTTTTGAGCCATTTCACTGTAAACTCCACCAGGACAAAAGGACATCTTTGCTTCTACGTGTTGGCTTTGTTCTCCCTTCCTAAAATCTGCCTTCTTCCAATTAACTCCCAGCTCTGGCACTAAGAGGGACTATTCCATAGTTATAATCTTAAAACTTCTGAAGAAAAACTCACACTGGTCAGCGTGGACCATGTAGCCACCCCAGTGGCCAAGGTCCCATGACTGACCAGTCTACACTAGCACTACCTACCTGAACTAGAGGAAAGAGCAACTAAGTTCTCCAGAAGGTGTTTACTTCCCAGAAGTAGAAAGGAGGGCTCCTTTGTCTGTCCCCCAAACATCAGCACCTATCAAGAAATTCCATTTCAAGTCTAACGCAAAAGCTTATCTAAACAGTCTTCAATCTGGTAATAAATTACACTCTGAAAGTTGTTTAATGAACTCTTCTGTGGCACTTGAAATGCATTTCACTAGAGACCAGATGTAGAGAGATTGGCTTCTCTGGCCAGTCTTTAGAGGCCTATTTAACTCATGATTTATCTGAGGTATAATGTTAATATTTCTAATATAATACTCAAACCCCATTCATAACATTGTTCCTAGAGGAAAATGTACTTGAAATTCCACCTACAGCAAGAAAAACATGCTCAATTGAATTCACTTACTGAGGATCTGGTAATGATGGTGGCTTCCATCGTGCATGTATCTCTTGACATTTAATCTGAACACAGAACAGCAAGACAGGTATTAACAACTGCACTGAACACATGAGGAAACTGGGTGTTCGAGAAGGTTTTGAAGCCTAAGGTCAATCATGAAGACGTGTCACAGCCTGCTTCAAAGCTATGAATATCTGACCCCAGAGCTGGTAGTATTCTGTCCGACATCCATAGCAGCCAGACAAGAGTGGGCTTTTAGTTCAGGTGACTGAGAGCTGAGCTAACATTTTCAACTCTGTGTGAATATCGAGATTTCCCTGCAGAGAAGAGAAGGAACTAGTGGGCAGTCATAGTCAATAGCCAGACATTAACTTTCTATATCTTCCCAAGAAAAGGTATTTCTCTATGGCAAAACAAAAGAAAATATTTCTCTGGGTAAACCTTAAGTTATACAAATGCTGGTATTGACATGAAGATCGTCTGAAAATTAAGGGTCTATAAATAGTATCTTCATAGAAAATTTGTTTTGCCCTGTTGAAAAAAGATGGCACTATCTTAAGAGGGCACTTAGGTGTTTTAAAAAAGATTAAAGTTGCAAAAATAACTGAGGTGACTCAGTTCTGCCAAAATAAATGTGATGGATGCACTTTACAGATTTAGCTGTATATCACATTTTTTAAAATGTGTTTAAAATGGTTAAGTATTTATTACATATAAGAGAATATATTTAACATATTGGTCAGGAAAAATAATAATAAAATCAGCAATCATAAACCTATCACCCAACCTAAAAGCAGACCATTAGTGATAAACTATGGCAGGTCCCTGAGTGTTCCTTCCCATCTGATGGAGGTGGACAATCCCTTCCTTCTGTGCATGCTGGACAAAGAATTAAAGCCCTTGATCCAAGAGGGGACTTTCATAATAAATTAACCTTGTTATGCCTTTTGAAATCAAACTGGAGAGATGGCCAGAAGTAATAAGATAGAAAACAGTTGAATTCAATCATAAAGCAAGGGGATGACTGGATTGTACACTGTCTTAACCTAGCAACCGCTGGCCAGACAGACTTGTAGAAGCTTCTGGTTTTACTCCATCATCCAAAGCCAGGACTAGTTATTAGTCACATTATTAGGCATGTGATCTGAAATATGACAAGTCATCTGGAAATTATTCCAAATTGAGGTAAGGTGTTACTAAGCCAAGACAAACTGGTTCTCTCATGCAGAGCCTTAAGCACATCAGATACCATAAGAAGAAGAAGAAGAAAAAAAGGAGCACATGGATTAACAACCGTGAACTTCACTTCATATATCATGGTGAGAAGATCTCAAAACTTGAGAGTGGGAAAAAACAAAGAAAAGAGTCAATCCTTTATTAAGAATATAATTTTGTTTTAATAGTGTGTTAAGCAACTAAGTTGTGGGGAAAAATTGAAGTAAAGAAGTTAAAGAGTTTGCAACCCCATGGACTGGGGCCTGGCAGGCTCCTCTGCCCATGGAATCCTCCAGGCAAGAATACTGGAGTGGGTAGCCATTTCCTCCTCCAGGGGATCTTCCCAACCCAGGGATCGAACCCAGGTCTCCCGCATTGCAGGCGGCTTCTTTACCAGCTGAGCCACAAGGGAAGCCCAGAGAGTTTACACCATATGTCAAAAAGAGGGCATACACACTCAGCGAGTGAGTCAGGATCAACTGTCTGACTAAAAACTACATACTGAGAATAAGGAAGCCTAGCACAGAGTACAATTAAATGACACAATAAATACATGCTAAGGAAGAGATGGAAAAAGGAAGATAAGCTTAACTGAGAAAGTAACAGTACTTAAAGAACATCTTAAGGATGGCATACAACAAAACGGGGACACCTGTATGAACACCTACAGACACCATCAAAGTGGCACTCTCCTTCACCACCGACATTGCCTTCTTTTATAGCTGTTAGGATTTGCTGTTGTTCAGTCGCTCAGTTGTGTCTGACTCTTTGCGACCACATGGACTATAGCTTGCCAGACTCTTCTGTCCATGGGGTTTTCCAGGCAAGAATACTTGAGTGGGTTGCCATTTACTTCCCCAGAGGATCTTTCTGACCCAGGGGTCGAACTTGTGTCTCCTGCATTAGATACACAGCATCCGAATGCATCAGACTGTTTAAGATGTCTAAAGACCAGGACCAAGGCTTGGATTTTTTTAAATCTCTAGATGTCCATACTTTGACATGGGACACATTCTACAAATGTTTGAAGGGGAAAAAAATAAGGGTCAAGTTGGTCAACCCTAAGTACCTTATTTAAATGCCTTATTTAAAGTAATAACCTCTGATGAAGGCTGGCCTCTTCAATGCAGGAGAGAGTATAATACAACTGATGATGGGGAGCACTGTTTCTCAGCTTTACAAAGATGCTCTCTGTACAGAGTATCTGTGTGTGTCCTGAAAGGGCTAGAGGGTGATACTTAAGGGGTGAAAAGGGGGTGTATCAGTTCAGGCTAAATTATGCCACAGTAACAAGTAACACCAGCAGTTTAGAGGCCAACAAGAGAGGAAGGTTTATTTCTGACTCCTGTTTGGTTCTCTGCAGGTGAGCTGAGCTTGGGCTCCATGTCCTTTTCCCTCTGGAACCAAGGCGGAAGTAGCAGCCCTCACTGGGACAGGTTGATCTCATGCAAAGAGAAAAGAGAGATGGTAGAACCAGGCAATTTAGATTCCATTTCTGCCTGGAAATGGCACATGTCATTGTTATTTTCAAGTCCAAGGGCCAAGACAGCCATGGGGCTCAACCCTCAGTGGGTGTGACAGCGTAATTCTCCCACAGGATGGTGCGTGGGTAAGAAGGAATAGCAAATGTTTTGATGGTAATGTAACCTACGGCAAAGGGAATGGAAAATGGCTAGAGAAGTGCTTTTTTCCCTTCAGTAATGAGAGAAGAAGTAAGTAAGTAAGTAAGTAAGTGAAGTCACTCAGTCGTGTCCGACTCTGCAGCCCCACAGAGCCCACCAGGCTCCTCTGTCCATGGGATTTTCCAGGCAAGAGTACTGGAGTGGGTAGCCATTTCCTTCTCCAGGGGATCTTCCTGCCCCAGGGATCGAATCTGGGTCTTCTGCATTATAGGCAGATGCTTTACCATCTGAGCCACTAGGGAAGTTTTATGAGAGAAGAAGGTTTCCTATTATAAAAAGCAGTCTTTTCATTTCTGTGGTACTTTATGCTGTTCTCATAAGCTTTCAGATATTGTATTCTGACAACTATCCTAGTGCAATTCCAGGACTTGCCCAAGGCCCCAGCGGCACCTGAACTGGAACCCAATTCTGGTGATCTCTTACCAAAGCAGCCTTTGAGATTTCGGTTTCACCCACAAAATGGAGATAATCTTACTTTCTAAGACAGCTGTTGAAAGATTAAGTGAAACAATATATTTAAGACACATAAGCACAAAAAGTACTTGCTAAATATAAAAAAAGTTGTATTATTGTTAAATTATGATATTTATCCCTTATCCCATATCTTTCCCAAATTAATCATTAATTTATCTTTAAATTTCTTAAGTAGAAAATGCATTTATTAATGATATTTTCTTCCCCTGTCAAAACCATAAGCTCCTCTAGTCAAGTTTTTTCCTAAGCACTCACACATACTTTCCCCGTGACTTCCCTTACTTGTTTTCCTGACTGGTCAGTTTCCTAAGACTCTCAAGAAGTTTCAGAAGGCAGCACTATTAATTTTTTATTGCTTCCCAAACAAGAGAAATGAAGGGCAATTAAAGACAGTCTTCATTTCAAGTAAGACAGAGATTCCACATGTGGCTTCCAACTGAGAGTGAATAAAGGACTTAGCATCAAAGATGCTTCTACCTCTGTCTTCTACCTCTAGCCCTAATTAGCACTACCTGCCTTCTCTCTTTGCATTCAACCAAACTACAATTCTGACCTTTCCCCAGAATGGAATCCTCCTTTCCCACCTCTCCCTCTTGGCTCAAAAACTGTTTGTTCTACATAGAGTATTCCCTATGCACTGTTCAAAGATCCTATCCAAATAACTGGTTAAGTGAACCCCAGTGCACACACAAAGATGTTCATCGCAGTATGCTTTAAAAGAATGAAAAGTTGAAAACAAACTAAATGCTCACTAGTAAGGAAATGGCTAAATACATTATAGTTCACATATACATGGGATGCTATAGAACAGTAACAAAAATGATGTAGATTATACCTATTGATTTGGTGTGGTCTCAGTTTATTATTAGTCTAATCAGGTTGCAAAGTAATATTGATAATGATCCATTTTAGGGAGAAAAATATCTAATTTAGACACAGGAACAGTATGCAGAATACAAAAAAAAAATCCCTAATAATCATATCTCTGGGTAGTGATAATGAGTTTTCTAATCTTAATAATTTTCACATTTTAATACTCTTTCCAATTAGCACGGTTAACTTTTATAACCTAAAAAAGGCATTTTACTTAAAAGGCATTAATCATTAAATACGAAATTCAAATGTCATCTGCTCCTGAACACACCCCACAACAGCTCACTCTTATCACACAGGTAATTCCTCTCTCATCTGTTTCCTGAGTATTTAATATATCTATTATAACATTTACCACACTTGTTTTGAAATGACAATTTCCTCTGTTCAGGCTTGATTATCAACTCTTGAATAAGTGGAATAAGCCTGTTTTATTTTTACTGGTGCTTAGTCATTCAGTCCTGTCCAACTGTTTGTGACCCCATAGACTGTAGCCCTCAGGCTCCTCTGTCCCTGGGATTTTCCAGGTAAGAAAACTGGAGTAGGTAGCCATTCCCTTCTCTAGAGGATCTTCCCAACTCAGGGATGGAATCCAAGTCACCTGCACTGAAAGCAGATTCTAAACCATCTGAGTCATCAGGGAATCTACCGTAATGACCCATGACTCTCAAGTATCCAGACACTACTGAGTATGTTGATTTGAACATAAAGCAAGGCTATATAATCTGTACATTTGAAGTTTGTACACCTAGTGCTACAACCAAAAATTCATCTACTGTGGGAATGTTCCGAAGATGCCTAGGGTCCATTCTGGAGAGAGAAATTATCAATCAGGATATTTTATCTGTGGCAACATTTCCCTATTAATCATTACTCCCATGTTTGCTTTCAGAGTTACCAAAGACACCCTTATTCAACTTGTTTAAGATGTAAGTCAATATTTCTGAGTCCAGAGATTAGTCTCTCAGATTTTTATCCATGAGTTTCCTCTTCAAAAGGACAAGAACTACTTTTATAATAATCCAAGTCCAATCCTGACTCGGTAGGAAATATAAATAAATACCTATTGTTTTAGGAAGAAATAAGGGAAATAAAATGTTTTAAGATTATGTAAGTCTGATTCAGGGAATTGACATAAACGAAGGTTTTGAAATAGCCAAGGCGTGTGGTTTTTTTTTTTATTTTTGAAGGTTCAATAAAGAATGTGTTTTGAGAACTAGGTGGGTGAGATTTAAAATAAATACAAGCACCACGATCTTAGCTGTTACTTAGCAATTTCAGGCTTCAATTGTTCCCTTCTAAAGGGCAAGTGACAAGACTGAAGAAATTGCTTCCAGAAGAAACACTGAGATATCTGATCCAGTTTCCTTTCTTCTCTCCATTTTACTCCCTAAGATCTTAATCCAGCTGGTATGAACTTTAAACTGCTCAGGTTTTTGGTTTGGGTTCGTTCTCTATAGAGACAATTCCTTTTTCTTAATTTCTGAGTCAAAAGCAAAGCTACATGCCATCATTAGTCAGGAGGCACCTTGGCTGCTTGTCCCCAAAGTGTCACTACCTGAGGAAATGCAGACTCACCGGAGTACAGAGAAGGGAAAGAAAAAAGTTCAAAAGACATAAACAGTCTGACTTATCTCCACACACTATCACTCAAAAGCCAGAAGAAGTGAGGGGTGCCAGCGGCCAGTTACAAAGCTGAGTTAATAACTTAGAACTCTAGTCACACACTTATGAAAATAGATCTAAATTCTGGATTGATCTTGGCACTTATCTTCATTCCAGAAGCCGTGGGGGCATGACAGCTTGGGTTACCTAGCATGGATTCAAAAGCAGACCTTGCTTTTATCAACCAAACCAAACTCTTACCATCAGGGCTGAGAAAGATAATTGAAGATTTGTGGCTTGGAAATGTCTTCACAATAGGAAACTTACCATCATTGGTGTGCTGAGACCAGCTCATGTATCAGTTCCTTAAAACCTTGCATATTCTTAGGATTTGGGGCAAGGTGATTGTTAAACACACCATCAGTAAATGCTAAGTTATATAAACATACAATTAAAATAAACTATACTAAAAACAAAGATCAGAAGTACTTAAAACACATCATTTCCTATTTTACTATGATCAATGATCTTTGATGTTCTTTGCAACTACTGTACCTGGTTGGTAGGAAATCATATAAAGGTGTGCTCCTGCAATCACTCCTCAACTCTGCCGGCAGTAATGCTTGCTGGTAGCATGAAATCAGCGATGGTGGGAGTGTTTACACTACAGAAATTTGCAAACACTACAACCCCCCTCCGGCCCCTGCCACCATTCAGGGCTGACTCTGAACATTTACTTGCATATCAGTATCTTCAATGTTCACCCACCACTGCCTGACAGTAGCTCAGGAAGTTGAGCTGGTCAGTCTCCTAAATCAAAATAAAGGTTTGTAAACTAGAAATCATGATGCAAATATAAGGATGGAAAGTAACTGCTTTTACTGTGGCCCTGTAATGTAACAGTCACTGCACAAAGTACTATCCAAGTCTTTCATTTCATGAGAAATATTATCAAATCCAGGATACTGATGAGTCAACTGAGGTTGAGAGGCTGGGTAACGACTAAAAGCACAAAAGCCAGAGTCAGGTGTGTGAATGTCTGCCTCAAAAATGTATGATCTTTCCACTACCTACCTACTTACTAGCATTATGACTACCATAATGAAACTGAAATCAATCACATATAACTGTCAGATAATTTGCAAATACTAGTGGCCTCTTACATGTTAAAAGAAAAAAAAAGTACACTGAAGAGGAATTGACAAAGAGCTCGATTTTTTCATATTCATCAAGTTTATTCATATTTACCTCCAAAATGTACCCACAAAAAGTGAGTAAGAAATAAGGCCCATGGAACCAGTGGAAGAAAGAATGATCTGCATTTGAGACAGGCTAAGTCCAAGGTTAATGTAAGAGGGATCCCCTTTCAGTTTTTTAAATATTTATACTCTATCCACCAAACTGACACACCCAACTTAAAATGAAACACTCTGCCAAGAGAGAACAATGCAAAAGAATCTCTGAAATGTTGGCACCAAGTTTCAGAAGTATTTACTTACTCAGATACTTACTTTTCAAAATTTTCTTTTTTAAACTTTTAAGGTATTTAATTGGGCTATTATTTTAATTTTGTTTCTTACAGAAAATTCACCCTGAAGTCAAAGGAATGCCAAAGAGCTAACAAAATTTTACTCACGGATTGTTTTTTAAAACTCTTGTCATCTTGGCTTCCTGTAAGTTACCAGCTTCTCCCACTGTTCCTGTATGTTTCCATCACCTGCCATGAGAAGAGAGAATCTGATTATCTGTCTCATAAAGTCCACTTCTTGGTTTCTACTACATTAGTCTTCTTTCTTTATAACTTAGAAATATGATCGTCTCTTCCTTTCTCTCCAAAATCAAAAAGGCAGGAGAGAACAACACAGAAGATTATCTCAAGAGAAAAAACTTTAAAGAGTCCTATTTCTACTGTGGGGGGTTGGGGTGAAGACTTTTAAAATACCTTCCCTTATGTTTTCCAGAAGACATTTTTAGTCTGTCTCTTGGGAGGAAGCAGTATTAGAGTAAACCTCTTTCTCTCTCTCCCCTCTTCCCAAAACCCCTCTTCCTTCTCAAAAGTGAGTGACTAACCACTTGGGAAGGCTAGAGGAAGCACTGGTCTAGTGCCGAGGCCCCACGCTGAGCTGGGCAGAAGGGTCTCCCCCCGGCTCTCTCCAACACCCGGGGTCAAGCTAATCTCCCCGCGGTAAACAGGACTACAGCCGCCTGTTTCTGGGAGGATGGGCCAGCTCTCTCTGTTGGTTTCTCTCCAGCAGAGTTACTGGACTAGGACGACTCCATTAGGGTTACTGGGGGCCAATGCATGTTTTACAGAAAGAGGGAACTGACACTTGTGAGTTTTCCAATCCTGCTTTTATCAATAATAAGTTACTACCTACGTTGATTCCCATTTGAATTGTTGCTCTATTTCACAAACTGTTTAAAGATTACAGGATAAAAGAGACAAGTGATTAGGCAACCCAAACCACCAGCTGTCAAAGGACAATGCCTAGATAAAAGCTTTGCTCAAAGTCCTACCACTTTCTAGTCACATGACCTTGGGAAAATCCATTCACATTCCCCCAGCCTCAATTTCTTTATCTTTGAAAGAGGATCAGATGGCCCCTACTATACTGTGTGGTTGTTCAGATTAAATAAAATGAAAGACATGATTTGCCAAAGTCAACCATGATCTGATCTAACAAGGGCTCGGTGCTCAGACTGGAAGTTTGTCCATACTTCCAGTTCAGATATTGGTGATCCATACAAGTTGTGGACTAATGGATTACACTGGTCGAGGCATAGACTTGGATTACTGTAATACTGAATGGTTTGCCTTGGAAACGAACAGAGATCATTCTGTCGTTTTTGAGACTGCGTCCAAGTACTGCATTTCAGACTCTTCTGTTGACTGATGGCTACTCCATTTCTTCTAAGGGATTCTTGCCCACAGTGGTAGATATAATGGTCACCTGAGTTAAATTCACCCATTCCAGTCCACTTTAGTTTACTGATTCCTAAAATGTTGATGTTCACTGCTGCCATCTTCTGTTTGACCGCTTCCAATTTGCCTTGATTCATGGACCTAACATTCCAGGTTCCTATGCAGTACTGCTCTTTACAGCATCAGACTTTACTGCTACACCAGTCATATCCATAACTGGGTGTTGTTTTTGCTTTGGATCTGTCTCTTCAGTCTTTCTGGAGGTATTTCTCCACTGATCATCAGTAGCATATTGGGCACCTACCGACCTGGGGAGTTCATCTTTCAGTGTCCTATCTTTTTGCCTTTTCATACTGTTCATGAATACCACTTCATTATTCTTGCCTTAAGAACTCATGAACAGCATGAACAACATGAAAATTTTATAGTTAGAATTCATCAGTTTAAAGAACATAAATTAAATATCACTTGCTGTTAGTGGTGTTTTAAAAGTATAGGTCAGTAAAAAATTAGGAGGTGACACAAAGAGTCAAAGGAAGAAGTCAAAGAAACAAACGAAAATGAGTACTGAGGTTCCTCAAATGTATAAGCAGGGAGAGAAAAGGGAAAGATGACTTTAAAGTATCATTAACATTAAACTCCTCAGTGATCAATGCAAAGAAATAGAGGAAAACAACAGAATGGGAAAGACTAGAGATCTCTTCAAGAAAATCAGAGATACCAAGGGAACATTTCATGCAAAAATGGGCTCAATAAAGGACAGAAATGGTATGGACCTAACAGAAGCAGAAGATATTAAGAAGAGGTGGCAAGAATACACAGAAGAACTGTACAAAAAAGATCTTCATGACCCAGATAATCACGATGGTGTGATCACTCACCTAGAGCCAGACATCCTGGAATGTGAAGTCAAGTGGGCCTTAGAAAGCATCACTACGAACAAAGCTAGTGGAGGTGATGGAATTCCAGTTGAGCTATTTCAAATCCTGAAAGATGATGCTGTGAAAGTGCTGCACTCAATATGCCAGCAAATTTGGAAAACTCAGCAGTGGCCACAGGACTGGAAAAGGTCAGTTTTCATTCCAATCCCAAAGAAAGGCAATGCCAAAGAATGCTCAAACTACCGCACAATTGCACTCATCTCACACGCTAGTAAAGTAATGCTCAAAATTCTCCAAGCCAGGCTTCAGCAATACGTGAACCGTGAACTTCCAGATGTTCAAGCTGGTTTTAGAAAAGGCAGAGGAACCAGAGATCAAATTGCCACCATCCATTAGATCATCAAAAAAGCAAGAGAGTTCCAGAAAAACTTCTATTTCTGCTTTATTGACTATGCCAAAGCCTTTAACTGTGTGGATCACAACAAACTGTAGAAAATTCTTAAAGAGATGGGAAACCAGACCGACCACCTGACCTACCTCCTAAGAAATTGGTATGCAGGTCAGGAAGCAATAGTTAGAATAACAGACTGGTTCCAAGTCAGGAAAGGAGTACGTCAAAGCTGTATACTGTCACCTTACTTATTTAACTTATATGCAGAGTACATCATGAGAAACGCTGAGCTGAATGAAGCACAAGCTGGAATCAAGATTGCTGGGAGAAATATCAATAACCTTATATATGCAGATGACACCACCCTTATGGCAGAATTTGAATAAGAACTAAAGAGCTTCTTGATGAAAGTGAAAGAGAAGAGTGAAAATGTTAACAAAGATCATGGAATCCGGTCCCGCCACTTCATTGCAAACAGAGGGAGAAACAGTGGAAACAGTGTCAGACTTTATTTTTTGGTGCTTCAAAATCACTGCAGATGGTGACTGCAACCAAGAAATTAAAAGGCACTTACTCCTTGGAAGGAAAGTTATGACCAACCTAGACAGCATATTAAAAAGCAGAGACATTACATGGCCAGCGAAGGTTCGTCTAGCCAAAGCTATGGTTTTTCCAGTAGTCATGTATGGATGTGAGAGTTGGACTATAAAGAAAGCTGAGTGTTGAAGAATTGACACTTTTGAACTGTGGTGTTGGAGAAGACTCTTGAGAGTCCCTGGGACTGCATGGAGATCCAACCAGTCCATCCTAAAGGAAATCAGTCCTAAATATTCATTGGAAGGACTGATGCTGAAGCTGAAGCTCCAATACTTTAGCCACCCGATGCAAAGAGCTGACTCATTTGAAAAGATTGAAAGCAGGAGGAGAAGGGGATGACAGAGGATGAGATGGTTGGATGGCATTACTGACTCAATGGACATGGGTTTGAGTAAACTCTGGGTGTTGGTGATGGACAGGGAAGCCTGGTATGCTGCAGTCCATGGGGTGGCAAAGAGTTGGACACGACTGAGCGACTGAACTGAATGGATTACACTCAGCAAACTGTCCCCCTTTGACCTAAAGGAAGAGATTCAGAGTATGTTTTACTTCTGTTTTTCAATTTCATAACATTTTAGGGCCCACTTCTAAGGGATAGGAAGTTCTCCTTTCCTTTTACAGTACAGTCCAAATGAAAACATCTCACTTCTACCAAGCAGAATGCAAGGACTGCTCATTTTATGTGAAGAACATACAGCTCCAAGTAGACAACACTTTTAAAAGAGGAACCTGTTACCTTTCCTCACCTAAAGCCTCAGTATTAAAGGAGTTCAGAGACAAGAGATAATATTAATTATAAAATGGCCCCACACACTGAGATACCATGAGACAGGGTTAACCTCAGTTACAGAACAGGCAGAAACTCCAAGTTATCCAGACCATTAGGGCGTATGTGTATGTGTGTACGTAAGAGGGGCATAAAGAAGGGAGAGAAATGAAAAACACCACACCAATTTGGAAAACTTCCTAGTTCTTGTCAACACCAACAAAAATAGCAGGGAAGGAATGAAGAGTCAAAGATTTATAGATTATACCCAGCACAGAGGGACTTGCTCATACGCTGGCCAAAGCTTTATACTCCAGGTCACTTGGCATGGAAGCCTTTTAAAAGCATGGAAAATGCAGAGGATTTGATGTAAGTTTAAAAGACATAGGCGTGAACTCCACCCTTTGCTATTTAACAACAACGTGGTCTTTGCCAAGTAATTTAATTATTAAGCCTCAGTTTCCAGGTCTGTAAAATGAGGACAATAATACAGCCCCCTGGGGAGTAGTTGTGCTGATTAGAGATAATGCATGTACAGTATCCGCCACAGAATATGTCCCCCAAATATAATTATTGTGTTTGCTATTGCAAGCATGATAGTCTATTAAATTCATAGCTACCAGCACAATTATGGTATTGAGTCCATTAAATTCAGACTCTTCTGTAGGTGAACATTTTTGAACAAGTGATACTTTTGACAGCAACATGAAACATTTCTATCCCGATCCTAATGAAGTGTTAAATAAAAATCTCCATTTTCATTGGCAGCCTTTACTAACATGCAAACCAAAAGTTCTAGTTATGCATTTGTTGGCATTTTTTGTATCAGTACCAAGTTTCTTTTTTTGATGATAAATTCTGAAAAGAGGGAATGAATCGTTTCCACTAGTGTTAATTCTTCTGGTTTGCATTATGATGCCAAGCACTTGGCGGGCATTTATGGGAAATAAAAGCCACATTGAGAGTGGCAGGCCACCTATTTATTTCCAAGGTGAGCTTTGCATTACAGCCTCATCAACAACAGTAAGAATTTACCAGCTATGTTTTCAAGGAAAACAAAGGTCAAGAGGTAAAGCAATACCCACGTTTAAACAGAACTTTCTATCTACAAAAAGTACTCCTTGATCCCGTTCATCTCTTTGGGACTCACTCCAGTGAT